TGCTTAATTCATTTATTAAATTTAGTAGTTTCTTGATGTAGTCTTTAGGGTTTTCTATGTACAGTATCATGTCATCTGCAAATAATGACAGTTTTACTTCTTTTCCAATTTGGATGCATTTTATTTTTTCTTCTTGTCAGATCAATTGGCTAGCACTTCCAGTATTATGTTGAACAGGAATGGTGAAGGTGGGCATCCCTGTATTGTTCCTGTTATTAAAAAAATGGTTTTAGTTTTTGCAAATTGAGTATGATCGGTGCTGGCTTCATAGAACGTGCTTGGAAATGTTCCTTCCACTTTAATTTTTGGGATAGTCTGAGGAGGATAGCTTTTAATTTTTCTTTGAATGTTTGGTAAAATTACCCTGTGAAACTGTCCAGCCCAGGGCTTTTGTTTTCTGGAAGTTTTTTTGATTACTGCTTCAATTTCCTTCATAGTTACTGGCTTATTCAGATTTTTTAATTTTTCATGATTGAGTTTTGGAAGGTCGTATTTTTCTAGGAATATGTCCATTTCTTCAAGGTTGGCCAGTTTGTTAGACTAGAGTTGTTTATAATATATTTTTTTGTCCTATGTGGACTTGAGAAGAATGTACTAGTATATTCTGTAGATTTGAGGTGAAATGTTCTGAAGATGTCGATTAAGTCCATCTGATCTAGTGAGTCATTTAGTATTGCTGTTTCTTTGCTGATTTTTTTGTCTAGAGAATTTATCCAGTGATGTCAATTGGGTATTAAAATCCCCTACAATGACAGTATTGTTGTCTCTCTCTACCTTGATATCTTCCAGAAGTTTTTAAATTTTTTTGTTTGTTTGTTTTTTGTTGTTGTTTTTAAGTATTTGGGTGTGCCTACATTGGGTGCATATATGTTTACCAGAGTTATATCCTCTTGTTGTATTGATCCCATTAGTATTATGAAGTGGCCTTTCTTATCTTTTGTTTTGGCCTCCACTTTGAGGTCTATTTTGTCAGATATAAGTATTGCTACCCCAGCTTTTTTTTCATTTCCATTTGCCTGAAAGATATTTTTCCATCCTTTCACTTTCAGTCTGTGTGAGTCCCTTGTTCTGAGGTGGGTCTCTTGTAAACAGCATATATATGGGCCATAGTTTTCTTATCCATTGAGCCACTCTATGTATTTTGATTGGAGTATTTATTCCATTTTTATTTAAGGTTATTATTTATAAGTACTTGTTTGTAGCCATTTTATTATTTATGCCTTTGTTCCTCCTTCCCTTTTTATTTCTCCTTTTTACAGCAGTCCCTTTACCACTTCTTGCATTGCTGGCTTGGTAGTGATAAACTCCCTTAGCCTTTTTTGTCTGTGAAGCTCCTGATTCCCCCTTCAATTTTGAATGATAGCCTTGCTGGTTAGAGTATTCTTGGATTCAGTCTCTTGCTTTGCATCATTTTGTATATTTCATTCCATTTCCTTCTGGCCTGATGTGTTTCTGTTGAGAAATCATTTGATAATCTAGTGGAAGAACCTTTTTAGGTAACTTTCTGTCTCTCTCTTGCAGCCTTTAAGATTCTCTCCTTGTTGTTAATGTTTGCCATTTTAATTATGACATGTCTTGGTGATGAGTTCTCTTGTCACCCGGAGTGATGTGCACATTGGATTTCTCTGGATGGCCCCAGGAGGACTGTCCTGGAGGCCAGGGTGAAGTGGGCACCAGGTGGCTCCCGGTCAGGCCTGCAGCATGTTTCTGGGGTCAGGGGTAGGGGTGGGGCACAGGGTTCCTCCTGGATTGCACTCACTGTGAGGTCTTGGAGACAGATCCTAGATCACTGGGTCCCAGTGGGCTGCTTAGGAGGCCTGGTGTGGGAGCTCACTCTGGTGGCACACTCTCTCTGCAGATGTCTGGGAGCCTTCTGGGAGGTACTGCACCACTCACTGCCGGGGCAGGGTGGTGGTTCCACATGGGTTATGGCTGGCATGTGGTATTCTCTAGGCATCTTCTGCTCTTTCTTATTGGAAATTGTCTCCTCAGCTGTGTCTAATTTTTTAATTCAGGGTAGATGTTCTACAATTTAGTTGCTTTTCTGGCCTGGCCCTAAAAGGAGTTGCACGACACTGCTGCCTATTCAGACACCATTTTCTATACTCCTTGGCACTGGATTTCATTAAATGATTTTTCTGTATCTATTGATATGATATTATGGTTTTTATTCTTCATTTTGTTTATGTAGTGTATCATGTTTATTGATTTGCAGATACTATACCAACCTTGCATCCCTGGAATAAATTCCACTTTTTCATAGTGCATGACTTTTTAATGTATTGCTGGATCTGATATAAAAATAAATGCTCGGAGGTGGGGGCAGGTTAAAATAGGTCAATGGGGGAAAATAATTAAATAAAAAATTTTAAAAGTAAACGCTTAATGTCAGTAATCATCAAAGAAATGCAAATTACACCCACAATGAGGTATCACCTCACACCTGTCAAAATGGCTATCATCAATAAATCAACAATCATGAAGTGCTGGCGAGGATGCAGAGAGAAGGGAGTCCTCATGCACTATTTCTGGGAATTCAGATTGGTGCAGCCACTGTGGAAAACAGTATGATATAACCTCAAAAAATTAAAAATTGACTGCCTTATGACCCAGTGATTCCACTTCTAGGAATATACCCCCCAAAAACCCAAAACACTAATTTGGAAAGAATATATGCACCCCTATGTTCATTATAGTATTATTTACATTAGGTAAGATGTGGAAGCAGCCCAAGTTCCCATCAGTAGATGAGTAAAAAAATGCTGTTGTACATTTACACAATGGAATACTACTCAGCCATGACAAAAACACACACAAAGGAAATGTTACCTTTGTGACAAAATGGATGGATCCGGTGAATATTATGTTAACTAAAATAAGCCAGTCAGAGAATTACAATTACTATATGATTTCACTTATATGTAGAATCTAATGAACAAAATAAATAAATACATTAGAAAGAGACTCATAGATACAGAGAAGAGGCTGACATTTGTCAAAAGGCATGGGTGTTGGGACTGGGTGAAAATGGTGAAGAGATAAACATAGAAAAAAAAACACTCACAGACAAAAGTATGATGATTACTAGAGGGAAAAGGTGGGGAGGTAAAAGAGGGTAAAGGCGGGATAAATAGAGATGGAAGGAGACTTGACTTAGTGTGTTAAAAAAGAATACAACATACAGATTATTTATTATAGAACTGCATACCTGAAACCTATATGTTTATTCATCAATATCACCCAATAAATTCAATAAAATAAAATTAAAAAAGAAAAACCCTGTGTAATACAAGTAGAATTTGCAAGTATCCTGTAAGAATAAGGACTGATGAAAATAAACCAAGTCCACAGTTCATAGAACATTACCAAGATTAACTGAAAAGAGTCAGTTTGGGATTTTTCATAAATACAAGGCTACAGATCCAATAATTTAGAATATTATTAGAAAAATTATGTCTTTTCCAACTAGCAAATGTCAACAAGTTTAAGCTATGAGGACCATCCTGAATTATATTAAGCACTGTCATTGATAGTTTTCTGTTGACTGAATGGGAAAGGAGAAAAAAATTAAAAAGGGTAAATTGAAATATTACCAAGTAAACCATAATAATTATTTTAATTAAATCCTCAATGTAATTCTAAGATATTATGTTGTATTAATACCAGCTTTACCAAAACAGCAAGTGCCAATTGCTATTATGAATTTCTAGAAAGCAGGTATAATCATATTTAAATTGTGGCCTCATTCTTTTTTTTAATGTATTTTATTGATTTTTCACAGAGAGAAAGGGAGAGGGATAGGGAGTCAGAGACATCAATGAGAGAGAAACATCAATCTGCTGCCTCCTGCACACTCCCCACTGGACATGTGCCCGCAACCAAGGTACATGCCCCTGACTGGAATCGAACCTGGGACCCTTCAGTCCGCAGGCCAACGCTCCATCCACTAAGCCAAACTGGTTAGGGCTGTGGCCTCATTCTAAAAAAAAAAAGAGTCCAATGACCATCTGTAACGATTTCAATGAAGTCATAAATATAAGAAATATACATGTGTGTAATTCAAAAGTAATCCATATAAAATGTAAACCAACAAATTCTTGTTTTTGAAATAAACAAATGTTTAATCCTCAGAGGCAAGTAAATGAAAATAATCTGCATGTATATTTGCTATTAGTGTAGAATGTTGCTGCTGGCAAAAGTATGAAAAACTTTACTGTCAAACTTTCTGGAAAGCACAACACTGGAATTTTTATTTATTTTTTCATTTTAACAATGGAAGGCATTACATAGACTTTTGCAACATCATCACAGACATATGTTTTCTTTAATAATTTGTCTGTTATCTTAAATCTAGAGATACTTTGTAAGCCCATTTTTAAGGTCATTAATGTCAAGGTAAAGCAGAGTGATGAACTTGGAGGCAGCTCTCCAAGATACCTTCTTGAGCTTCCACACCAACGAATAGAATCTGTATCACACATCTTCAAATCCAATATCATTTTCCTATCACTCTGGTTTGTTATCTTGCAGGTAATATGAAAAGGCTCTTCTAGAATTACAGTATCTGGAATTGTCTCCAAAGAGATGTTCATGTTTCCATAATGTGGAAACTCTTTTTCAAGTTGGATTGTATGTAGCATTGCCATTTCACCAAGATTTCTTTTCCAAGTTATATCCAATTTTCCCATTTCTGTTAGTCCTTTTATGGCACCAGATTTCTCTGAAAATTCTTGCTTGATCTGAAAGTGGTACAAATATTGACGTTGTTCCATTGACTTCAAAAATGTTCTTGTCCCAAAAGTACACTCATCTTCTCCAGCCCAATTTACATTATTTAATTCTGCTGTAATGTACATTTCAGGTGGCTCTAAGGAAACCTTTTGTATAAAAACATCTGAAGATGAAGTATTCTTAATTTGGACTTCAAGAAATAAATCATTCATCTCTGAATTATGAAACTTGGTTTTAACTTCCAGTGGTGAAAACAAAGAAAATATGCACAGTTTCCTTAAAAACATTTCCTACACATTATGTTGAGTGGATACTGAACTCACAGGTTCATCTCTTCCAATGTTAATTACTTTGTCATGGATGACATCATCAATAGAACAATTGGATGAGAGTTCTACCACAGTAACCATGGTGACTGAAATATGTAAAGGCTGAGTAATCATCTGAAGACAGTGTTTTCAGTATCAGTTTGACAACTTAATTGCAATCATTAGGAATTTTCAGATACATAAATTATTTGTGTTAAAAATGTATTTCTAAGAATTTTGATGAAGTCAACCTTTCCCCCAACATTGACATTTCTTGTGGAGAGACATTTTTCATGAGCTGGTTAGAGGAATTACCAGGTATATCACTATCTTCATATGTGATTGAAAAGTTGGTGAATAAGGTATATTTAGTAGACACCATCTCTTATAGTGTCAGAAAAATCTCCTGTCTAGTGAGAATGCAGAATGGTGCAGCCACTGTGAACAGTATGGACTTTCCTAAAAAGTTGAGAATGTAACCCCCATTTGACCCAGTAATTCCACTTCTAGGAATATATTCCAACAAACCAGAACCACAAATCAGACAGGATATATGCACCCCTAGGTTCATAGCAGCACAATTCACCATAGCTAAGATTTGGAAACAACCTAAGTGCCCCTCAGTAGATGAATGGATTAGAAAACTGTGGTACATCTACACGATGGAATACTATGCTGCTCTAAAAAGGAAGGAACTCTTACCATTTGCAACGGTATGGATGGAACTGGAGACATTATGCTACGTGAAATAAGCCAGTCATTGAAGGAAAAATACCACATGATCTCACTCATTCGTGGATAATTGAGACATTTAGACAATAACTAACTAAGTAACTAACTAACTAAATAAATAAAGCCTTCAAAGGAAAAAAAAGAGAGTAATTCTCCACAGATGACATGATTTTGCCCTAAAATCCTGAATTTTAGAGTCACCTGTGGGGTCTTCAAATCTCCAAATAGCATCTCTATATGCCCCTGATTATTTAAACACTATCATATATCTGTTGTATAAAATAACACAAGTGGTAGAGCAGTTTTCATGGCAGCTTGTACCTGTTACAAGACCTTCACTTTTTCTAGGCCTCACTCAAAACCAGTCATTCATTCATGAGTAAGAGTAACATACCCAAAGAGGTACATAGTGCTTCCAAAATCCAAAGAGGCCCACAAAGGTTTTTTCTCTCTTTTTCAGTGGTAAGAAGAGCTAGATGCAAGAATATACTCTTCATTATGGAAGGATATCTTGATGTGGTTGGTCACTAGAAGTTTCACTGAAATGCAAGATGGCTGAATTTTTGTGGGATTTCTTGTTCTCATTTTAGCACATGTCTTACTAAAGTATCTAGTGTATGTGTTGCTTCTTGTTAAACAGGTCCAATCAGCAGATTACTATCAGTTTAATGGACCAGGATGATATCCAGTGGAAGAGAAAGTCAATGGAGGTCCTTATGACTAAATTATGACATAGACATCAAAAGTTGATATATTCCTCAGTGAGGACAGTGAAGGTATATTGATAGACTTACCAACTAAAATCAAACTGCTTCTATTGGTTCTTACAACTATAGAGGAAAAAAAGCATTTTCCAGATCACTAGCTGCATACCAGGTCTAGGGGATGTATTAATTTACTCAAACAATAAATCCACATCTATAATAGCATCTGCAATTGGAATTAACACCTGAATAAACTTACAAAATCTACTGTCATTATCCAAAATTCATCTGTCTTTGGTACTAGCCAAATAGACAAGCTGAATGGAAATGTTGTAGGAATGACTAATTTTACATTTTTAAGTATTTGATGCTGCACTAAGTTTGGCAATCCATTCAGGAACCTTGTATTCCTTTTAGTTTACTAAGGTCTGTAAACTGGTTTCAGTCTGCAAATTTATCAAGGTATTTTGACTCTCTTTTTGGTGATTTTGTTCAATAGACCTAGATCACTTCTGCTCATATTTATCAAACTAGGGGCCCTGTGCATGAATTAGTGCACCTTGAAATTAACTGTGGGCCGTGAGGCTGTGGTGGGCACAGAGGCGGGTCTCAGCCCATCCTCCGCGCCCCCACCTGGCCCCTCCCTCTGCAGTCCCACTCCCACCACCACCGCTCCTATATACTGATGGTGCCCGCCCCTCTCGCACCTGCTGACAGCATGGAGCAATTAGGGCCGGCGATAACAGTGGGTGCCAGCAAGGCCAGCACTGTCAGTGGATGCAAGCAGCAGCTTCTGCCCCAATCTCCCCTCAGGAGCAGGGGAGGTGGAGAAGCCCTCAAGAGAGATTGGAGCTGGCAGCTGCTGCTTGCACCCACTGCCGGCGCTGAGCGATGGGGACTAGCGCCGGGCACCAGCAGCTGATGCAAGCAGCGTCTATGGCGCCAGCTGCAGGTGTGAGCAGGGGCTGCTGTCCTAATTGCCCCTCAGGAGCAAAGAATATTCAGTAACCACCAGAAGCTCACCCGATGACAGCGACTGGCACCCTGCTTTGGTGTGGTGCCCCTGCTCACCTACTCCAACATCCCACTGTGGCCGCCGCCCGCCATGTTCCACACTCTGCCACCTGCTGCCAATGCCTGCCATGTTCCATGCATGCACCCTGCACGTCATAGTGACCAGTTGTTCAGTTATCTGGTTGTTCCGCTATTTGGTCTATTTGCATATTAGGGAGATTATATATATATATATATATACACACACACACACACACACACATATATATATGTATATAATTTCCCCCAGGTCTATAGAGACTGAAAACTCAAGAGACATAAGCATGTTTTTCCTTTTCCTTTACTTGTTGCCTTAGAAAGAGCCAATGCCTGCCATGTTCCATGCATGCACCCTGCACGTCATAGTGACCAGTTGTTCAGTTATCTGGTTGTTCCGCTATTTGGTCTATTTGCATATTAGGGAGATTATATATATATATATATATATATGAATTTTGTAGTGGTGGGGATGCAAAGGACAGCATTAGGAATATAACCAATAATATTTTAACCACTATGCATGGTGCCAGGTGGGCACTGGAAATATTAAGGGATCACCTTGTAAACTACATGATTTTCTAACCACTATGGTATACACCTGAAACTAATACAGGATACTATTGAATGTAAACTTTAATGGAAAATAAATGGACCATGAGAATGGTAGGAAGGGGGAGACCAGTAGGGAGTTGGCTCCACTCCCATGGGTAGTGCTGAAGTTACGGAAATATAGCTCAGCTGTAAATGATTCCCCCTTAGAAGACTGAAGCCTGGACCCCAGTCTTGGCTCTCCATACTGGAACACCAGAACCAGAGGCAGGCACCCATATATCAGTTGACTGTGAAGAGTGGCAGGGTTTCTGTCCACCAAGGAGAGGCAGAGCCAGGTGGAGACAAAGGCTTCTATGAATGGCTAATGTGCAAAGTTTCATTCACAGCTGCTCACACTGGGCTCTGGTGGAGGGGGCAGTGGTTCAGACTGGAGTCACCAGAGGTTTGTGGCTTGGAAGATAATTGTGAAGGAACAGCCACTGAAATCTCTGTGCTGGGTATCCTCCAATACTGTAGCAGCCAACTTTCCTAGGCCGAGCAAATTCCTCAGAGTGGCAACAAGCTGGGGAAAACCTATTACCCCACACTTAGAAATCCCGATCACCCCACCTTGAATCTTTAGAACTGTTGGTGAGTCAGTGGAATATATGAAAAGGGGAAAGGCCTGGGAAGACTCGGTGGATGTCAGTGATTGGATTTGGGGCTGGGACATTTTCCCCACTTTTCTGGGAACCAGGCTGGTGCTTCCCCTGCATGGGAGAGCAAATGGAAACACCCTTTTGTCCTCTGTCAGATACAACCTCTTGGCTTTGGAAGCCCCATGCACCTGGCTACTAGGCACTCTGCTCTGCCAAGGTCAGGGGAAAATCTGGAACAGACTCAGACATGTGGCTCTGGAACAGGGGATTACACACACTATGCTTCCTGAAATCTGAATATCACCTACCCACACAGGAGATCCAATAGTCACAACCTCCCAATTCTGCCAGTGGCCCTTTAAAATACTAAGCCCTTTTAATGACTAAGCCTAACAGTCAGCCAGAAGGCAAAGGCAAGTGGAGGCAGGTTCCAGGGTACCTTGAGATGTTTGCTGATCCACCCCTGGGCTTAGTGCAGGTAAAAGCCGGCTTTGGAACACAGCCTGGCCATTTTCATGTGCAGCTAAGCCCAACAGAGGCAGCCACAAGCTGTGAATTGATTGTAGCCTCAGAGAGGTTGCCAAGGGCCAGACATAGGCAATGGCTGACATAGGAGTACACCAGAGTTTCTTCAGAGAAGCCCAGGACCAACAAACCAAGTTACTACCTTCAGACAACATGGGAGCAGAATCCAAAAAACATCACAAAGAGCAATCCAAAGGGAGACCACAGCAGACATTAAACCTTGCTGAGGCAAACTCCATTTTCTTATTATTTATTACTTTCTTTTTTCTATCTTTTATTTGTTTTTAGTTTTTCTTTTTTTAATATTTGTTTTCTCTTTTCCTTTTCTTACTATATTTTTTCATTTAATTTTCATATTCTTTTGTTTCTGTTTCCAATCTCTTATTATTTTTCTTTTTTATTATGATATTTTTCTTTCTCCTTTTTCTTATTCTTTTTTGTTTCTTAATTTTTAAAATATCTTTTTCTTATTTCTTAATTTTTTTATCCTTATTCTTTTTTGTTGGTATTTTTGTTTTATGTTTTATTATAGTTTGTTTTGTTGCATCAGTACAGCAGTTTATATGCCATTGGTAGGGGTTGAACCTCACAGTCAGCCAGCCTGAGGTCAATACCTCCCACAAATAGGCCAACAGTAATCAAGACCCAATAGGAGGGCCCATAAAACACACACAAGGAACATTTCTAGAGCACCCAGATTAGGAGATCAAGGATACTGCACCATTGCGTCCCACATGTAACATACTGCATAAGGCCAACCCACCAAGACTAGAAC